CACATTCATCATGTTTAGTTGATTCACGTTCACTATTTTGATAATTTGATATGTGGGTGGACCGATGCTAGGGTGTTGTTCTTACTTGAACAAGCAACCCTCTTATGATTACCCCCTCTCGCAAGCATCCGCAACTACGAAAGAAGAATTAAGATAAATCTAACCATAGCATGAAACATATGGATCCAAATCATCCCCTTACAGAATAACGCATAAACTAGGGTTTAAGCTTCTGTCACTCTCACAACCCTTTGTCTACTCATTACTTCTCAATGCCTCCCCCTAGGCCTAGATATGGTGAAGTGTCATGCAGTCGACGTTCACACAACACCACTAGAGGAAGAACAACATACATATCATCAGAATATTGAATGAATACCAACTTCACATGATTACTTATAATAAGACTTCTCCCATGCCCTCAAGAACAAAAGTAACTAGTCACACATCATATTCATGTTCAAGATCAGTGGTGTGTTGAATATGCTTAAGGATCTGAACATATAATATTCCACCAAATAAACCAACTAGCATCAACTATAAGATGTAATCAACACCACTAGCAACCCATAGGTGCCAATTTGAAGTTTTAGGACAAAGATTGAATACAAGAGATGTACTAGGGTTTGAGAGGAGATGGTGCTGGTGAAGATGTTGACGAAGATTGGTCGTTCCACGATAAGAGGATCATTGGTGATGTCGGTGACTTTGATTTTCCCCTCTCGTAGGGAAGTATCCCTGGCGGAATCACTGCGCCGGAGAGCAAAAGTGCTCCTGTCCAGGTTCCGCCTCGAGATGCCAGAACTTCGTCCCGAAGTCTTATCTTTGTTTTTTTCCTAGGGCAAAAGGCATCATATAGCAGAAGGGGCATCGAAGGGCTGTTGTGGGCCCCACAAGGCATCAGGGCGCGCCCTAGGGGAGTAGGCGTGCCCTATTGCCTTGTGAGCAATAGGTGGCCCCCTCTAGTGGTTCTTCGTTCCAATATTTTTTATATATTCAATAAAAAAATCTCCGTGAAGTTTTAGGTCATTTGGAGCTCCATAGAATAGCTATTTCTATTGTAGCTCTTTTAAGTCCAGAATTCCAACTGCCGATAATCTCCCTTCTTCATGTAGGTCTTGTAAATTAAGAGAGAAATGGCATTAGAATTGCATCATAAAGTGAAATGTGTGAGTAGTTCTCACAGGACCTATGGGTCCATAGTGATTAGCTAGATGGCTATCTCTTCTCTCTCTTTGATCTCCAATACTGTATTCTCCTCAGTGTTCTATTTGATGTAATCTTCTTTTGCGGTGCATTTGTTGGGTCCGATGAATTGTGGGTTTATGATCAGATTATTCATTGAAATTAATTGAGTTTTTTTATGAAATTTATTATGTATGATTGTTATAGCTATGTAATGCATTCCGATCTATGAGTTTTCTTTGGCCAATTTGATGAGTAGATCTTCAGTGGAAGCGGTACATAGTAGTAGGTTCAATCTTGCGGTGTCATCACCTCGTGACAGAAGGGGTAGCAAGGCACGTATTTATATTGTTGTTACTAAGGGGGAAAACGATGGTGTTCAATCATATTACTTGATTTATTTCGTCTATATTATGTCATCATACTTCATGCATTACTCTATTTGTCATGAACTTAATACGTAGAGAGGCAAGCATAGAAGCGCTCTCGAATTGGAGCAATAGTAGTAGATACAGACATGAGCCGGTCTACTTGTCACGGACGTAATGCCTATGTACATGATCATGCAATGAATATGTACATGATCATGCAACGAATCACGTCATAACTATGCGTTTTTCTATCAATTACCCAACAGTAATTTGTCTACCCGTCGTATGCTATTTTTGTGAGGGAGACACCTTTAGTGAAAACTATGGCCTCCAGGTCTATTTTAATCATATTAATAAAACCCTAAATACCTTACTGTAATTTATTTACTTTTATTTTACTTTGCAATTTATCTATCTAGTACTATTAGATTTGATCCTTGCAATTAACGAGTACATAGGGATTGACAACCCTTTTACCCGTGTTGGGTGCAAGAAGTATTTGCTCTTGTGTGTGTAGGTACTGGCGACGGTTGTTTGCGTGGATCTTCTATTTGTCCAATAACATTGGTTCTCTACTGGGGGAAATATTGTCTGCTACTATATTGCTTCACCCTTCCTCTTTGGGGAAAATCTCAACGCAACTCACAAGTAGCAAGGACACATGGGTAGGCAGGTAACTCGCTCCTTCAGTGTGCCTTATTCTGTTTGACTAGATTGTCGATGGTTTGCGCGCGTTGCCGCACCCGTCTATAGAAAACTATATAATTGTTTGTGAAAGTCGAGATGGTACAAATATGAGATTTATTTTAGAATCACAATGCCTGAATATAGACCGGACACATTTGATCAAAATTCTAGTCTTGATCGAAAGCTATATGTCATTGCATAATTTGACATGTAAATATTCCAGGAGAAACAAAGATGATTAACATAAAAAATTAAAATAGCATACATATCTTATATACATAAGAAGTTGATCCCCACTCTCCTATTTATCTCAACATGCACACATGCCACCTCATCAGAGGCCCACCACTATATGCATGAGAAAAAGTTTTCCATTATTAGTTGATCTCATGCACACTTTTCACCCCACCACATATGACACCTCATCAATGGTCCACTCAACATGCATGAAAAGAGTTTTCCATTATGTTATGCCACTTATATTCAAAATATGTTCTAACTATATAATAATCAAATACAATATATAATATTTATTTTTAGCTTTAGTTTATATATTATTAATTCAACAATGCAAGCTTCATACAATCAAATCATTGAAATATATTCCAATCGATTCCCGCAGCAACGCGCGGGGTATTCTCTAGTATCTAGAGATGGCATGCCATGACATACTTGTGTCACTCAATAGTGTCATGTAACCCCCGCGCGGGGGTGCAGGTGGGTCTTGGTTACGCCATGGTTGAAGGCTTGGAGCAACATGTAACTGATCAGAAGTTAAATGTTTCACTAAAAACAGAGATTAAGTTCATAAAGAGCAAGTTCATTTGACAGCGTGGTATTGGTACGCTATAGGATTTAGAAACGAAGTTACAAATGATTGTATCTTGTATTCTTGTTAGCATGGCAACCCTGTTCATCCAAGTAGGCATAACTATGAGGCTATTATGACTTGCCAGCTCCAAAGCTTATGTATTGATCAAGGGAAACAAATATATACTCCACCGAAGGCTAGCTACGATACTTTGTTCGAATCAATAATCAACTTTTGCTTTTTTTTTACCAGGCCTAAAGCTTAAATATCTTTTTGAAACGTTTTCCCTAATGAATTTAATTCACTCAGTATATGTTGTTCTAGATACACAGATATCTTCTCTAATCTGCAACCAGATGGGATTTTTAGACTCTTAAGCGTAAAATATATTTTACTTGAACATTGGATTTTACATTAACTATAGAATTTTGCAAGGAAAAATATTGGTACATTAACAAAGATTATGATTTTAAATAGAAAATAAAGGGATAAGAGTACATGAGCATTTTGGCAGAAGTTAACAGTTAGCATCATACCTTTTTGAGCCCAAACTGCACAAATCCCTGGGCTGTTATTCTCCATTGGAGCAATAAATCAATTCTCCCACCCTAAGGAGCAAAAACAAAGAAAATATAATTGTTACAAGTTGTTCGTATGGGGTGGATTGCTACACTGATTTAGTAATTGTATGGATAGCTATAGTTATGGCAGAGATATGCTATTTTTACACGTGGCACAGAGCTAGATAATTTCACACCTTTGCTTGGTGAGCTTTGTATGTCAAAAAGATACAACCTAGAACAACATGTGCACATGCACAACCATAGTTATTTCACCATTTGGCAAAATAAAATCTGAGACAACGTTGAGAAGTTTGTATTTCAACTGACCTCATAATTTATTGTATTTGTCGGCATTTGGGCCATCGCTTGAAAAGGGGCCCAATAGCAAATATACAAAAGCCGAAGTTAAGCATCTGTTCTCACCAGCATGAAGGAAGAGGCAAAAACAAGGTCTGAACTGATGCATCAGTTCCTGAGTTGAGAGAGTGAAAACAGCCATTTGTTCTATCTGTTCGTACTGGAGAAAAACGAAACATGCATTCAGTGCAAGTCCATTCCTACCAACAGGACAAAAGAGAGAGAAATGGCAGTGTCGTATAGTTATAATATATGTTCTCAACACGAACAAGAGGCAAAAAAAAAATGGTTCTCTGTTCCATGGATATGCAAAAATAGAGTTTTTTTTTTGAGTTTATAGGAGACGGAATTTTTTTACTCTGAAGCTTTGCGTACCTACTACCGGCAACAAAAAAGAACAATGAACAGTATCATAGAGAGGTCATGTTCTTAAACTTCCATGGCATTTGCACATAACAGCAGGCAAGAAAATGGACATGTTAATCTAATGAGCTTCGGTCAGTTTGCCATCACAAAATTCTGAGGAAAGTATCGAGGCAGAGACGGCCATATGCCATGTGAACCACTTGATATGCGCCATAAACTGAAACACATAGATGATCTTACACAAAAACTACTTGCTAAAATTGACATTCAAAGTGTCAAAGGATCAGAATAATTACCTGATGACCCAATTAAACTAAGCAGAGGGTTCTGTTCATCTGCGTTATCTCCAAGGATTGAACATGAACTGACCCAGAGGTTTCCTTCCCCCTCCTCTCTCGCAGGTCGCAGCAAGCGCATAGATTATCTTTTGGGGGATCGATCGGCCTCTCTCACCTAAACGCTCGTGGTGCTAATTCTATTTCACTGTGAAACGTGAGCCATTGGGAGTGGAACTGTTTGTTATTTTGTATTTTTTCAGGGGCTTCCCTGTAATCGGCGAGGCATCTTCTCCTAGATGTGCCCGCTATTTTCCCCGTCTCTAACTGGTACAAAATTCAGATATTTTCTTTCCTAAAAAAAAAAACTATTCAACCAACGTCAATGGCGTCGCCGCCGCCGTGGTCCGACGACCTCCTAGGTCTCCTCGTCGCCGTCCTCGACGCGGTGTGCTCTTCCATCTGGCGCTCCGTTGCTTCTCAGCCGCCTTCTTCGCCGTGGTCGGAACTCCCAGACGAGATCCTAAATCTGGTGATGGCCGGCCTCCCTAACCTGGCAGACCGCGCTCGATTCCAGTTGGTGTGTCGATCCTGGCGCGCCTCGGCTCCCCCTCCGCCGCAAGTGCCGTGGATGCGGACGGTGCTGCGTTCCTGGCAAGCGGTTTCCTGCCCCCCTCCGCGGCAGCGGCCTTGGAAGTGGATCGACTCCGCGTGCCGCCGTCCGTCCGTCCCCTCACGTCTGCCGCAGCGGCCTTGGATCGTGCTGCCCGGCGGCTTCTACAACCACGACGGCATCTACACTTACATCAGAGAGTGCACAGGACACGGGTAAAATCTTGTTGTATCTCCATAGTTATACATCCTCATCACATATATAAAAATTTCTTTTTCTTCTTGATCTAATGTATGTATGGATGGTTCTCCTCCCAGGTTCGCCACTGGCAAGCAGGAGTGCACCCCGTTCAAGCGCTCCAACATCAACAGCTCCTTCCCCGACAGCTTGCGATGCGTTGGCTCCACCGACGGCTGGCTCGCCCTCGACTACGCTGATGATAAGAACAAAATTCATACCTACTTCTTGCACAATCCTTTCTCTAAGGAAGTTGTGGCTCTCCCCGAGCTTGATGCCATCGTCGGTAATAGTTCCGAGTTATTTCAGATCCGCAAGGTGCTCATCCGATCGACCCCTGGTGACCAGCTCGTCGTTATCATGACCAACAATTGGAACTATCCGATCATCTTAATCCCACCGGGAAAGGGCGCGTGGTTACCGAGGCCACAAGCAACCCCCTTCATCAACATTATTGACATCGTGCTCTTAGGAAACAGGCTCTACGGGATCACCCAGGCAGAGGACCTCTTCTCCTTGAATGTAAGCTTTAATGCTGATGGCATACCCACAGTCACCAATATCAAGCACCACATCAGATCGGGCGATGCTGATTCCAGTGTGGAGAGCGACTTAGATGAGGACCAACACCATTATTGTGAGAACGAAGAGGATCGGCTTCAGGGCAACTTGTATGAATTGAGGACAATTGGAGACAACATGATCAATGATGGCATCCTGTGGGATGAGATGCCTTATGCTCCCAATGATCACCTCGCCACATTTTGGTACTTACTTGAGTCGTGTGGGAAGCTAATCATGGTGAAGCGTCAATTGCAATTTCCTAAATGTTGTTATGTCAAATTCACTCGTAAGTTGGAGGTTTTTGAGGCAGATTTCAGCGCACGCACATGGTTGCCGGTGTCAGGTGGGCTAGGTGGCCAAGCACTTTTCATCAGCAAACGCTTCAGCAAGTCTGTTTCTGCTTTTGGAGAGAGAGAGGAGGATGCTATTTATTTTATCGATACAGGTGAGGTGTTCAACATAAAATCCAAAACTCAAAGCCGGCCAGTAGAAAGAAGCGTCGATTCCCGTTGCTCAACATGGATCTTCCCTCCAAGCTAGCTGTAAGAGTACACTACTAGATGCTGCAAAAGGAATTATTTATCTTAACTATTCCCTACATACCGCTGCTTATCCATCACATTTTTCATCACTTTCAGTACACTCAAGTCTAAGATGCCGTTATGTTGATTTTTCCACATCCTATGCATGTTTGCATAGGATGATCATTGCAATGCTCCTTAACACATGTTTGCTCCGGGCGATGATCATTGCAATGCTCCTTAACACATGTTTGCTCCGGGCGATGTGCATTCCTATCCCCTTGCTTTTACTTTCACATTGTTCACACGGCAGATTCACCACCAAGATAAATAGTGTAAGGCATGATGAAACCACAGGTCGGCTTTCATGATCTCCTGTCACGTCAAAGCCTGCAAGATCACGACACTATTACAAACCATGGACTTTTTGTGTTTCTGAAGAGGGCACCATAGAGTGTTATACCCATTTGTCCTTGTAATGGTCTTTGGAACGGGGACATTAATCTCCGTTCCTAATCTTACTAGCAAGCCGAGGTGATCAGAATCATGACATCTGATGTGCAGACCTTGTGTAAAATAGGAACCTATGCAGCATCCAGTGGTTGAAGTCACCAAATTTATCATGGGAAGGTGTAGCTTCTTACTGCAGGTTGGTATATGAATGATATCATTTTAACCCTCATCTGCCTTTCCACTGGATCTCCGAGGGTTGCTGCCGAGTACTTTGGTTACATAGTTGTTAGTACCTCCCAATCTACAAGGGCACTCAACTCTTACCTTACCAATGGTGGTTTTCTGAATATACGCGGCAGGGGTTTGTTCTGTATATCCAGCCGGTGCTCTGAATATGTACAACACATAATCAGGTGTGCATTGGAGATATCATCCATCCTTGAGCATTTTATTCAGTAAATATTAGATTCCCAGCTGAAAGCAGCACAGGAGGCACTTGTCTGGACCCTAATTCCTCTGTTTTATTAGGCACATCCACAACTTGTGGAGTCATCAGAAGTATGACCAGTCTCCAAATGCCATCTTGCATAGTACGTATATTTTGGAAAGGAAGAAGCTACTCATGTTGGACAAGATGCAGCCATCTCAGAGAGAGAGAGAAAGAGATAAATTTGGCTTCATCGGGTTGCATCTTTTCTTCCAACTTCCATTTTGGTAACAGAAACAGAGTGCCTTACCTGCTGAATTTATTGTGTTTTTGCACTTCCTCGTGTTTGATGGAGGAGGTGGTGACTGAATTATCCCTCAAATGAATGCCTACCTTTATATGTTGCTGAACATAATATTGGAAGATGTGTACATGTATGTCCTTGCCTACCAAATGAATGCCTGCCTTTATATGTTGCTGAACATCCTCCCTCATGTAATTAGTGGTCTGTGTGATATGATGCCAGAGTGGCCATGGCTGCTCGTTTTGTTCAGTCTGATGCTTGCTGCTTTTTGGGTTGGTGCAACGAAATGAGTAATATCATCAGTTCACCGCTATCTCTTTCGCCAACCTGACCACCTTGCCCTGGCGGCCTGGCTCAGCAGCTCGTGTTGGATACAATTATTGTCTCAAAAATGAGTGAGGCATCTCGCTCTGTCTGTCTGTGCGTTCAGATGGACAGGTCAAATCTCAAGTTGCACACGCTTCATGTCCAATTGTTAAGGTAATTGAGAGCTTGTTTTTGAAAAGAGCCCCAAAAAAGAGAGGAGCTTCTTTTTAGTTCGAATATCAATATCTGCATGTATGTTGAGCTGAGCTGAACGTTTAGTTTCAGCTAAACATAAAACGAGTGGATGGAGAGAACAGTTAAAAAAAAGTGGCAAAGTACCATACTTTATGGAATTTCCAAGTTCCAACTCTAATTAGTTGAGCGATCGAGCACATCGCCACTGCAACAGCAGCATTGATCCTCTATACATTGCGCAATTGGACGACGTTTGGGAGTAAAAAGGAACATCACCAAGTGTACCATAACCAAGTAAATTAAATCTCCACATGAACTACCATCTCTCAAAGCTATCTAGCTATTTCACAAGTGGCAAACATCATCTGTTTCAGAAGCATGCTAAGATATCGATATCTGCAAAAAAGAACACGGACAACAGTTCGAATCACCATGACTTCATTTATTGCATTTTTTTCTTCTTCTTCTAGGACTGGCCTCGTCTTGTTTTTCTCTCGCCACGATGCACCTGTGAGCATCAGTAACATTGTCGAGTTAATAAACCTATATGATAATGAATTACCAACAATCGTTAGTCATAGTCAAGCTACAGCGGTTCGAGCATGTTCTGTCCATTAACGCATAGTGTAAACAAAAGTTTTTACATATTTATTATGCATGTCAGAATGCCGTCTCTAGTAAAAGCTAAGTGGCAATTTGTTGCTACTTCTTTAGTTTAATCATTGACACAGCATCCTTTTACCAATCTAGCACCACATCATCATAACAACGCCTTCAAAATTTGTGATAAGAGTGTGGCGCTTCTCCTGGTTCTTAGCTCAACCCCCATACTCTGCTTTGGTTAACACTTTGTGGATGTATTTTAAATTTTACTGATTTTTTTTAGCTATGCTCAAACATCATATATAAGATAAAAGATAGACAACCATTAGCTTACTACAATATAAAATTAGGAAGTAATGGGTCCTGTTTACGAAGCAGAAATGAGGAGCACCCAGATCCTAAAATTGAGATGCAACTACCACAGTTCTCATTTACTGCTGGGATTAGTTTGAGGGGAACTACCCAACTGATCGAATAAACTTTTTTGGAGACAGCAAGGGGCTGAGGAACAGCAAGATGCTCTTGCTTATGTAGTAGGGGCAGGAACTGAAGAAAAGAACTAGGAATAGAAAGTGAGCCTATTTTGCATACTGGAACTAGGAAGTGTGAAACATTACTACATTATAGTAAATTGCAAACTAAATACATGTAGCTATCGGAAGAGATGGATCTAGTGTAAATCATAATTTTCCAACTAAAAAAGGTCATTGGATTTTAGGATGGACGGTTATATGAGAGGTGGGATGCTACCAGGCGCACCCGCCTCCAATCCCATTTGTTGTCTTGTCCTCAATTATTCACCTAAATCTTTTCAACCTAATTGGCAGGACCATTTGACTACTCACGTGGCTGTCTTTCCATTACCAAACGGCCATGGCTACAGGTTTTGAGGTTTATACTAGAAGGAAATTTCACCAACTACTATGATTGATGTCAGTTTGCTGAGAATGCGACGAGTTACTGGACAAAAGTCAAGCTCTGAAGATACTGATTATACTATTTGCATGCTTATAAGATATGGATAATGCCCTTACCATATTATTCTAGCCCTACCACAGCAGCAGTTTATCGTCAACTCCACATAGTGTTGGGTCACCTTCATTTCCCCGTGCTTGGTCAACTCTACATAGTGTTCGGTATTGGGGTAAGAAAACACAAGACATTTACACAAATATGTACACTATAATTCCATACCTATGTTCTTCAATATGCTCTTCGGACAGCATAATCTTCACTTCCTTCCCACAGGCAGCACATATTTTAACCTCCTCACGCATGGCCCTATAATTCTTGTAAGCTTTGATTGCATAAAGCAATCCACCTGCTGCCGATAAAGCTCCAAAAGCATAAGAACTAATTGCCACAAAAAGTGCTTCAGCCGCCATCGGTCACTAGCAAAGTACACAGAGAACTGTCACTAGCGGATCATCAGATGTAACGGAAATCATAAACTGCTAATTTATGATGTACAGTCAGAACATGTTAATAGCTAGAGGTTCAATAAGCAACTTTAGAAGTCAACTTCTAGAGAAAAAAAACTTGGTGTGGCAGAATCAAACTCTACTCCTAGAAAAAAAATACTCAGCCAATGGCTGGATAACTAACTGTACAGGACCCTTTCACTGCAGATTCAGCGAGACAGCAAGGCATGTCTGGCCCGGTGATATTAGACTAGCAAAAGTCACAGAAGTACTTCCTCTCGAGTCACAACACGTGGTTGATGATAGAACCGTTAGTTCCTATTCTTACACACAATCCATGTGCCGTCGATTAGATTGTTTGCATTTGCATATCAGATCAAACAAACCGTAAGGAAGCAGTCTATACTGATCACTGGAAACATATTGCAGGAATTTTGCCAGAGTAGTTTTCTCTTATGCGATTAACCTCCACCTACCTCCAATCTGAAATGCAGTAAACGGCTCTTATCCTAAACTGACTAACAGGCAAAGTCATCTTCAGAAAACAAGTTGCAGATCAAGGTTGTAGCACATGAGAGAACAATCATAGATAAGATATCACGATCTAGACTCTAGAGTTAATAATCTGCATAGGAGGGGCGGATGGGGAGAGAGAGATGATGGAGGGGCGGAGGCAATCGCGTTGGAGGGGATGAGATACCTGCAGATGAGGAGCTGAGGTGGAGGACAGAGCTCGGGCCGACGAGTGGCTGCTCGGGGGCGGGGAAGAGGGCGGAGACGGCGGGAGTAGGCGCCGGGGAAGGCGTAGGCAGGAGGGGCGGCGGTCCGACCGGAAGGGAGCCGCGGGCTAGAACGGAAAAAGATCCAAAATAAATCTTAAACTTATAGGCAAAAACTAAATCAAACTTGAACTCTTAATTTCTGAAATTAGCACACCAAACTCTTCGATCCTGGTTTATTTTGAACCTTGAAAAGATTTAACCCGGTATTCGCTGAATTGGGCCGGCCCATTAAGGTAGTTGCTCGTGCTGCTCCGGTTTTTCTCTGTTTTTTTTTGTTTTTTCTGTGGTTTTTCTTCGGTTTTCTTCTGTTTTTGTCTTCATTATACTTTGTTTTTTCTCTAGTTTTTCTTTTTTCGCTACATATTTTTTTCTTTTTTGATTTCCTTCATATTGTTTGCTTTTTCTCTTTATTTTCTTTCTTTATCGGTAACTGACTTTCCTTTTTTACACAACTCTAATTATTCTCAGTACCCAATGTGCATTTTTAGCGCAGACATGAAATAATTTTTGATACACTTTCGACATTTTTCAAATATATCACATACATTTTTTGAAATACATGTTTTCAATACTCTTTTCAATACATGGTAATAATTTCCAAATACATGATTTAAATTTTCTTAACAACAATAAACATTTTATAAACCACATAAACAATTTTTTACATTGTTACACATTATTAAAATTGTATACACTTTTTTCAAACACATGTCACATATAGTCTTTTAAGGGCATGACACATTTTTCTACATCACGCAAACATATTTTTTACATTGTATACACTTTTTTAAATGTCACAAGCACATTGTTTGATTCTTTTTGAATCACACGTATATTTTTTTTACATTGTGAAATTTGTTTTTGAAATGTCACATACATTTATCCAAACTTGTGATATTTTTGAGATGTCACAAAAAATTTCTTTACACATTTGGTCAGGTTTCAAAATTTGTTCCTAGGTTTACAATTTTCAAAAGGTATTCGCATTCTTCAGGTTTCAAAATGTGTTCGCTTTTTCAAAATTGATTGCTTTCTAAAAATAGTTGTTTTCCTAAAGTATTCAGAATTTTTTAAAAAGTGCTCACACTTTATAAAATGTCCAAACATTTCCAAAATTGTTTATGTTTTGAATATTTGTTTGCCCCTAAAAATGGTTTCAAAGTTCAACGCTTCGGTGTGTGCTTAAATATATGGGGCCTCTTATTTTATCACTCATAATAGTTAGTAGTGCTAATTGGTGATATCTCCATCGATCAATCTACGACGAATCAACATGCTATTATACATACGTACTGTGTCACGGAGCCAGACTCAGAGGGTGTTTGTTTTCAGGAACTTATTAGTCTAGGGACTTAAATAAGTCCCTATAAGTCCCATCTAAACCAAACAGAAGGGACTTATAGGGACTTAGAGTGGGCATTTGAGATTTATGAAATAAGACTCTCGAGAAGGGACTTATAGGGACTTATAGTTGTAATATGGTCTTATATAGACTTATAAGTCCCAGGAACCAAACAGGTAAGGACTTTTTAGGGACTTGGGACTTCTAAGTTGAAACTAAAAAAAATCCTAAGACTTATGAACCAAACAGGACCTTGATCGTACAATCTCGGAGAGAACACGATCGCTCCGACGTTGGAGCTTGGGATTTTCATCTGATGTGATAATTCAACTACGTGCAGATTATTAGCAAGCTGCGTGCTCCCAAAGTTAAGCTGATTAGGACCGCTGGTTAGGCACGTACCTGGGCAGCGTTGGTTCCATGACCGGCCAAAGGCAGCGCCCACGCAACGGCGACGAGAACAAGTAATTTAGCCATCGTCGCCTCGGCTAATTTGCTTTGCGCTCAATAATGTACGTGGTGATGAGGAGAACGCGCCACACATGCGCTTATATATAGAGAGAGGCTGGTTTCATCCTGATACATTTGAAAATGCTGGCGGGATGGCGCAGGTCGGCCCAGATCTGGGCCCTATGGACCCCATCTAGGTCCTACCGGGCCGGTCTTGGCGTTGCCTCGCTGCTCTCTGCACGGTGATGAGGTGGAGCGGCTTGGATGGCGGGCGGCGGCGCCGTTGGCACGTCTTCTACAGCGCGAAGGCGGGGGCTTTACGGGCATCTGAGCGCCTGGGCGGACCTGTGTGCCCACGGGTCTGGTTTGTCCCTGCTATTGTGTCCGGTCGGTTACCGTCGTTGATGGTGGAGGTTGAGCCCTCCCGCGTACCGACGATGCTGCTGCCCTAGTCCCGGCTCCTCCTCATCGTTGTGCAGACCATATTTCGTGGTGCCGTGATGAGACGGCTTGGAAGCTTCAAGTCTATGTTGGCGCAGGGTGGTGTGGTCGGTTTGGTGGCGCGCTTCGGAGCGCCTGAGGGGTGGGTTGGGATCGGGAGAAATCCCTGTCGGCTTGGCCGACACCGACGTGGCGGCGCTTGCAGGTGTCGTCAGTCCTTCCTGGAGGGCGTCGGAGCGACCCTTCCTATCCCCTCGCCGCGTACCGGGGGAAACCCTTCGCAGCAGCGTCGTCGTCGTCGCATCCCTTCTTGGAGGTGTTGCTTGGTGCCGGCATTCCGAAGTCGTGGAGCTTGACGGGAGTTCTCCGGTGGGCGCAGCGGTCGCGAGGCTTCTTCGTTTTTTGTTGACCCGCCATTCTTGGCATTTGTTTCTTTTTTGTTTTCTCTTCCGCGAGGCTTCCGTAAAAAAAATTGACAACGCAACCTATGTTGCAACTTTTCTGCAACAAGAGCTTTGTTGCAAAGTAGAAGAAGACGTTCAGCTGCTATATAGACCATATCTGATGGCCCACGAGGCGATGGATCGTTTAAAAACAATTTAACGAGCGTTCGAGAAAAAAAAGTCATTGGCCGACGCGTAGCAAGCCCAAAAAGAAACATTTTCTTCGTATAAACCAAAAAGATTGAGATAGGATAAGTAAACCACCCATCCGAGAAGGATACTTTTTTTGGAAGCAATTTGTCGCTAGAGGCCGTGTTGGTCTCTACCGTCAGCTTCTTCGTGTAGATTGTAGAGTCCTCTTCCGAGGGCGCTCGTTTGTTGACCACATTGACCATACTGCGTTGAGCGCATCAAGGCGATGGAAACACGAACAATTTTGACACCTAAACAAAATTTTGAAACCTGGACAAATTTTTCAGGAAGTATTCCACATAAATATTTTGTTCAGGTTTCAAATTTTGTTCCCATTTTTAATAAAATATGTTTAAATTTTTTGTGTTTTAAAAAAACACACTTTAAAATTTTGTTCAGGATTCAAAAAATTGTTCCCGTTTGTTACAAAAATGTTTATGTTTCACAAAAGTTGTGTTTTGAAAACTTGTTTGCACTTTAAAATGTTGTTCAGGATTCAAAATTTGTTCCCATTTTTTACAAAAATGTTTATGTTTGACAAACGTTCGTGTTTTGAAAGTTGTTTGCACTTTAAAATTTTGTTCAGGATTTAAAGTTTGTTCCAATTTTTCACAAAAAAAGTTTATGTTTCACAAACGTTCATGTTTGGAAAAATTGTTCGCTCTTTAAAATTTTGTTCAGGTTTAAAAAATTGTTGCTCTTAATAAAATGTTCGGGGATTTCGATAATGGTTCACGTTTTCAAAATTTCTTTGTGTTTTCAGACATGTTTGTAATTCAAAAAATTGTTCACATTTTTGCATATAATGTCTGGAATTTTGAAAATTAATTTTTAGTATTTAGAATATTAGGATTTCGAAACTATTCATAATTTTCATAAAAACCGAGAAAATAAAAAAAATGTTTTCAAATCTCGACGCTGCGGTATATGGTCAAATATTTTTGTTAGAATAACTATGAGTTAGTGCTGCTCCTCACATGAGTTGTAACGTTGAGCAATTAGAGCTTAGTGCTAGAATATAGAAGGTCTAGAGTTCTCTCTTTATTATCCATGATCATGTGTTTGTAACTGCTACTGTAACTCAACCTGGGTGTTCTGTATATAAAGAGAAGATAGCCGGTGAGGTTCATCACGGCTTAACACAGCAATACTTCTGTTTACATGGTATCAGACGCCATCTGACCAATGTCAACCTCTTCCTCCTCTCTCATGGCTTCCGTGCCGGCGGCTACCACCGTCGTCACCGTGCGTCTCTCTCGCGACAACCATCTCATGTGGAAGGCACAGTTCCTCGCATTCCTGCGCACCTACAAT